GTTCCACCAAAAAAAAAAAAAAAAAAAAGTAATAGCGTAACAGTGATTAAAAATGAAGATAAGGTTACAGATAGAATGTAATAATATCAACTTCAATAGTCTTTGGGGAACAGCTAGGAACTATACTTTCTGTGTATAAATTTTTGTTTTGCTTTTAGGAAAATATAGCAAAGATTCTGAAGCCCTGTATAAAATATCTGAAGAGGAATTTTAGGGAAACTCATAAAACTGAATCTTACATGCTATAGATACCTGATTATGACAACTGTATGTCAGAATTAAGTACCATAATTAAAGATGAAGCCTTCATTTTACTGACAATAATTGAATGTCTGCAATATATTAATGTTAGCCTACTTAAATAACTTGATATTATGCAACAAGTAGACTATGATTTATTTTAAAATAATACAGTAATTATATGACTCATTACTTTAAAATAACTACAAATGAGCAGTTTAAAAGATGAACTTTTAGATCAACAACTCTCTGCATTAAAAATAATTAAAGTTGAGTTAAAAAAGAAACAACCACATTTGTAAATGACATACAAGACAATTTAATTTCGAAACAATAAAGAAAAGCTTGTCATAAAAGATGTCCCTATATAATGTTAATTTATTCTGATATAATTGACTATTTTCATTTGTGCAAGAAAATGTTTACCAAGGTATGAAATAACACCTGTGGCTGATTCACAACATTAACTCAGCATAAATTTAAAAGAAAGATCGGCAGGATAACATGTTGACCTTCAGGAAGAACCCATTTAAGGAAGGTAAAGGATACTAATGGCTACTGAGATAAGGTATTCGACTGATCCTAACCACAGTAGACCCTCTCACTAGAATCCTACTGGCCAGGTGCACCTGTATCAGTCCATTTTGGCATTTACACATGCAAGGCAGGGGAGGGCAAATAGAATAAACAGATGAAATATAATTACCAATAAATCATCATATGGAATAGCGAAGAGGGTATACTTATGCTGTTGTACAATTTTGACCAAATTGTCTCCATTTACTTTCATAAATATTTATTTAAAAAGTGTTTTCAAAACTTAAATTACATGAAGGAAAAAAAAGTTTAGAAAGGAGTAGCACTGGCTTGGGGAACTTAAAATGGAATTAGTTCACTGGGGAGTAGAACTCAGTCAGGTTTGTAGCAGAACCTTTGACATGTGCTACACACAACCCCTACCCATGTGTGTTGACCTTTGAAGTACTGTAACCTCTGCTGATCCTCTGTATGAGGAACTCCTTGTCCACACCACTCAGAGACTGGACTATTACTGAGTCTCTCCCTCACAAGATGCCTTGACTTTTGACAGTATCAGTCATAATTCCTGCTAAGGTGTGATGGAAAGTCTAACCTACTACAATTTTTTTTTAACCTACTACAATTTAAAGCAACTGGAAGGTGAATCTCAAAACATCCTGTCAAGCAAAAGAAGCCAGACATAAAGGACTACATAAATCACAGTTTCATTTTTAAATCCTCAAAAAGGCAAAATAAATTTTCATAATGAAAAATAAAGCTATAAATATAGCTGCCACTTAGTAAAATGTCAAACCATATTTTCAAGATTGCTTGAATTTGTGTTTCCTTAGATTGCAATCTACATTGCCCCCCAAAAGATGTGATGTTCTTTGTTTTGATCAGGCTGAAATATTCTCAGTCAACAGATAAAAAAGGAAAGCTCAGATTTAGAGAAGAGTTTCATTGAAAATTAAACCTTAAATCTAAGCAATCTTAACATAAATTTGGCCAATTGTCAAATAAGAATTATCCAACAGTAAATTGTCCAAATCAGTAGTGCTGCTTTAATAGATGGAAACCTAGGTGGGACAGATTGCCTTTCTGTCCTTTACCTTTTTCCATTCATATATACTTGTTTCAATAAGCACACATACTCATAGAAATCTGGTAGGATTCGTTCAAATTAATAACCATTGTTACTTTTCAATGTGTAAGGTTGGACATTGAGCAGCTATGGAAGAGAGTAACAGAGCTTTCACATCATGTGAATTGTTTGAGTTTTTGAATGTCAGTATATGTGTATTAATTATTGGAATGTCCCAAGCAAAAATAGCCCAATCAGAACTAAGTATAGCAGTTTGGTCTTGTTAGTGACTATGGCTTGGTGAAATTCCACCTTTATTTGGTACAAGCATTTTAAAAACACAATTACAAACTAAATCATTAAATCAGATTGAAATTTAAATATTGCTTTTTTCAATCTGATATTTTTTCCTTCAGATCTTTTTTGACATTTTACTTTAATTGCTGTAGGGAATGGCTAAGCTGGAAATCAGTTACCCCCCTGATGGGCTAATACAAACCCACCCTGAGAATCGAGAGAGGTCCTCTGGACAAGTAAACAAGCTGTTCAAGCTTGCAAACAGGTTACTATGCAGAGAAGTTGAAGTTGACATCAACCTCCTACGTATATAAATAAACCCTGTGTAGTCCTTGGGCAGTTCCTTTCCTCACACCAGGAGAAAGGGCTCCACCTGACCTCAGCTTTCCTCTCTTATCTTTCCTCTCCCTGTTTTTCCCTGGGAACATCAACACCAGTTCACAGCAGATTACAATGAATAACTAGACTAATGCATTAATAAGGCTAATATATTAGCTGCAATACTGGCCTCAATATCCAGCACAGCAGATTAAGGAAATAATTAAGGAAATAATAAAAATAATTAAATTGTCTTTGAAATAAACTAAAATTGATTAGGTGTTAAAGCACTAATATATCAGAGATGGGTCTCAAATGCCAGCACATATAAAAAAGTTATCAAGTAAAATATAAGGTTAGGCAGGCATGGTGGTACAGGCCTGTAATCCCAGCACTCAGATTGCTATGAATTCAAGGACAGCCTGGACTATACAGTGAGATCCTGTCTCAAAGAAAAAAAAATGAAAAAAAAAAAGTATAAGGCTAGAAGATATATATACACAGTTGATCTAATTTTTTCTCTTACCTTTTATTACATCTTATTCTACTCTTTATTTTGCCACTGCTCAACAGCTTCTGGTTTTGTTTTTTTGTTTTTTTTTGGCGGAACCAGGGATTGAACTCAGATCCTTGCGTTTGCCAGTCAAGTGCTTATCCTACTGAGCCATCTCCCCGGCCCCTAGCTTCCATTTTCTACACTATTTAGTACCACACATTTCCACGGATGGCATCAACAGCCTGGTACTGAATGAAGTTGGGGCTGAGGTGAAGTTCAGTGGTAGAGCACTTTCCCCAATATGTACAAGGCCCTGGCCTCCTTATCCAGCACAGCAGATTAAATAAATAATTAAGGAAATAATAAAATAATTAAATTGGCTTAAAAATAAAGTCAGATTGGTTAGGCATTAAGCACTAACTCTCACGTGTCTACATAACTGAAAAATACACCTATCACATAAACAACTAGCGAAAATGAAATAACAAGGAAATTATAAAGATGCAGAAAGGAAGAGAACTGGTGTGAAGCTTACAGGAGTGGCAGGTGGCTCCAGTGTAACCCGTGCCCTGGCAGTCACAGGAAAAGGTGTCCCATGATTGGGAACAGTAACTCCCATGCTCACAGTAGCTGGGCAAACACCTGCATGGAAACAGACACAGCTGCTATTTCTTGTGGTCAGTTATTATCAAGCAAATATCTCTTTTACTAAAAACAGACTTAAGGGAAACAATGGCATACATAAAGTTCCACATTATCAATAATTACTACTTGCCATCAAAGTTTTCTGATAATAATAGTACCTTTTAAAAACACATTTATTAGCATGTAGCTGATTATTATGTGAAATAATAGCTGAGCTCTTAGCATACTAGTTTTTTTCATTTGGGCCTGTGTGGCATAATGTGAAATTAACATGTGACTATCAAAGTCAGTTCTGTATATAAGATAAGAAAATTTTCAATGCTTAATTACTATATTATGGAGATTTTTGAAAGAAGTACTGCAGAGAGGGAGAAGAGAGGGGAGAAAGGCAGGAGCATCTTTTGTCACATACATAGCAAGACATGAGATGTAGTGAATGTTTAAATTTTTTTAAAAACTTATTGCAGTAAAGGACTTATTGCCAGTCAGACCCCTCATTTTGAATATACTTATCTGTATCTTTTTTGTGCTGTCATAGCTGCCTGGATATCGTGAGTCAACTCAAAATGTTTGCATTTCACAGTTATCTTGACTTTGGGGAAGAACCAGAGGTATCCTGGTGCCAGATACCAGATCCAGAGAAAAAGGTGGTTTACGAGACTATCTTTCCATTAGATGGTAATTGGCAACAGCCCTCACTGTATTTTTTATCATGCCTCATAAAGAAATAAGCTCTAAATGATCCTCCAGATGTAGATAACATTTCTTAACCTATAACATTAATTTTTTAAACATTTTATCAGTGGCTATAATTTTAAAAAATACTGACTTTCAATGGTATTTTCATAGATGCATGTATTGTTATTGTATTCATCCTCCACAGCCCTCCCTTACACCTCCTCTCCCTACCCCTTATTCTCTCTCTCTCTTGCTTAAAGTAGTCTATTTTCTATTTTTACATCATTTTCTTACATTCCATACACTAGGGAAAAGATGCAACACTTATGTTAATGAATCTGGCTTATTTCACTTAATAAAATTTTAATTTAATTTTTTTTTGGTGGAACCAGGTATTGAACTCAGGCCCTTGCACTTGCCAGGCAAGCACTTATTCCACTGAGCTATCTCCCTGGCCCCTAATTTAATTTTTAACAGAGACGTAATTGTATAAACTTATAGGTGATATAGATAGATAGATAGATAGATAGATAGATAGATAGATAGATAGATATGGCAATGACTGGCTCTCTTTATCTGATGGCAACAAACCTGCAGGGGGAGTCCATAAGGAAATGCTGCTCTTCAAGGAATGATCAAATAATTATTTCCAGCCAGAATCATTAGAAAGATAAAGCATAACTGATAGCACAGACTGTATTTATATACTTAAGTTTTAAAGACTAAAATGTTTTTCTTCTGTCATTGTGCACATACCTTTATTAATCTCTGTGGCTTACACTATTATAGAAAGAGATTATTTCTTACTTGCTCCACAGAAAAGATAATATTTAATGTCTGATGCTGAAGATTAAAAGAAGAGGAAACTATGCAACTCCCCTGTGCCCCAAACTACCAGCCATCTGTTGGGACACATTGGCAAAACTTTTCTTGATAACAGTGAACATTAAAACTAGTATCATTTTAAGATAAAATTCCCCCTCAAAAAAAATCTATTATTTCAAAAATGTCATTTATACAACTAAAGATGCAGTTTTCAAAATCTCACTGTAAATATGACAATTTAATTCCCTGAAGAAAGATAACAGAGGAAAAAGAGAATGTAATGTGAGAGGGTCTCTACTTGAGATTGAACCTAGGGTCTTTGCACTGAGCTACAGTACCTAGATTTTTAATTTTATTTTTTATTATAGAATGGAATTATTTTTTTTTTCTTATCAGTATACTTTTCATCTTTGAAGACAGAGAGGCTGAAATGACCGCACATGGCCCTTACCTGTCCATGATGCCACAGGAGTCTATCTGGAGGTCGCTGAAACTTCCCAGCGCCCCCTGCTGTACCAAGATGAGATCTACCACTCTGTCACCAATGGAGATGAGCCTCAGGCAGCCCTGCAGCCCTCCCAGGAGGCTTTCACACCCAGAGCCAGAGCTGTTGTTGGGACAGCCTGAATGTGGAGACACACGGTGAAAAAAAAGAACTATTCTGCAATATTTTAAAAATGAAGACTGTTGCTTTCTCTTTGTTTACAGATGCTTGGGAATAGCTGTTGACATGGTGTGACCCAGCTATATCACTCACTAGGTAATAAGGACACAAGTTACAATTGATTAAATGTTAGATTATTCTTGGAACTCACAAATTTTTTAAATGGGAGAAATTAAGGTTTGATATTATTGTAACATGAATTATGGCACATCCAAGTGCAGGAAATTTGGAGCATCTACAATCTCATCTAAAAAATAACATGGTTTAGCATCACATAGTATATGTGAAGAAAATTAAAATGGAGGTGATCCAGCTTTCAACTTGTGCTACAAAGCTACAATGGTATAAAACAGAATGATACATTCAGATAAATGAAACAGAACAGAGGACACAGAAACAACTCTAGATACATTCAGTAATCTACTATTTGATAAAAGAGCCAAAAACACATTCTAGAGGAAAGATAGCCTTCTTAACTACTAGTACTGGGAAAACTGGCTATCCATATGCAGAAGATTGAATCTAGACCCATATCTCTCACTATGTAGTAAAATAAAATCAAAATGGGTCGAAGACCTAAGTATTACAACAGAAATACTCATTCTGCTAGAGAATAAGATAGGTAAACTCTTATTAAACACATAGACATAGGCACAGATTTTCTAAACAGAACCTCAATTGCATAAGAAATAACATTAAGAATCAACAAGTGAGAGCCAGCCAAATAGTTCAGTGCATTAAAGTGCCTGCAAGCAGGCATAGGGGCTAGGGGTTCAATCCCTGGGCCTGCTGTGCCGGCCCTGCCCTCAAGGCCCACAGAGACAGCAATTGAGACTGGGTGTGGTGGCGCATGCCTGTAATCTCAGCACTTGGCAGGCTGTAAACTCGAGACTCACTATGAGTCTGACCTATTAGTGAGACCCTAAATACTCTGTAGACCCTTCCCTAAAATAGAGAAAAGAAAAAGAATCAACAAGTGAAATTATATCATAGTAAAAAATTTAGCAAAACAAAGAAAAAAACAGTGAAAAGACAACCTACAGAATAGAAAAAAAAATTGACAGCTAATCCTTAGAGAACTAATATTTAAGGTATGTTTTCAAAGGTCAAAAAACAAACACTCTCAAATAAAAGACCCAGACAAAAAAATGGGCAACTGAGATGAATAGATGTCTTCCAGAAGAAGTACAAATGGCCAATAAATGCATGAAAGAAATCTTCAATATCTCTTGTCATGACTGAAATATAAATTAAAACAACAGTGAGAGTCCATCTTACTCCAGAAAGAATGGCTATCATCAAGATATCAAATAATAAAAATGCTTGTGAGACTGCAGGAGGAAAGAAACCTTTCTCCACTGTTGGTAACATACAAACTAGTACAACCTCTAAGGAAATCAGCATGGAGATCCCTGAAAAAACTAAAAATAGAAACTCTACTCCACCTAGCTATTCCTCTTCTAGATATCGTCCTGAAAGAGTTAAAAAGCGTCCATCATCTTACAGCAATATAAGCATAGTGTTATGGTTTGTGTCTAGGTATCCCCCTAAAGCCTCATACAGTCATGAGACAGCTCCAAAATTTTGTGATTAATTCATGATCCAATGCTGGGGTTATGGGTGTGAGTGCTACACCCACCCTGGGGCAGATAATCTGAATGCAATTTGAGGAGTGAGAGAGGCTTGCTAGCTGCCACAGCCACTGCTCCTCTCTTGGCTCTTTGCCATTTTCTGCCATCATGAACTGCTGCCCTCTGCCATGTGCTGCTCTGCTTGGCGCCAGCTGAGTACGGACTGAAACCTCTACAAGCTGTGAGATAAATAAACCTTTCCTTCCTTGATTTTGGGTGTCAGGTATTTCGTCCAAGCAACAAGAGAAAAAGTAACTGAGACATATATCCATGTGTATGTCAGTGCAACTCAAAATAACTCAATCTTGGTAGTAGTCTATATGTTCATCAACAGAAGAATGGATAAAGAAAGTGTAGTATTTATGCACAAGTGTTACTCTGCCATGAAAAGGATAAACTTGAGTTACTTGTAGAAGATGAATGCAACTTGAGACCGTATTGCTAAGTGAAACAAGTCAGAAACAGAAATTTAAGCATCTTATGCTTTCTCCTATATCAGAAGCCCAAGGTACAAATAAATTAAAAAGCAAAATAAAAGATAGGCAATAGGAAGCAGGGAGATTAAATTTTTGCAAATGAGAATGGGGTAGAGATGAAGCAAGCACAGTGGGGACATAAAAAGAACGAAGATGTGTACATGTACCAATTCCTCTTGATGAATGCAATCATGTACTGCAAACATGTACTAAATTTTTAGAAAAAAGTGAATATAATATAACTTTATCATAGCCAATAATTCACTTAGGAGATGAAAGATTTAGGCTACATGAAAACACTACTTTAAAAATGCATGTGAATTTTCATTAGTATGTAAAACATGTTCACTATATGCTCCATATTTTTGTGTGTCATATGTATATTTGAGAATAATCTTTTATACTGATTGGATGAAAATATTTAGACTGGCTTTTCTAATGACAAATTTTATAAAGTAGATGTTTTAGTCACATAACAGCCAAAGATTATGTTCTAATGTGAATAACATAAAAAATAACACAAACCAGCACACTGTTAAGGTCCACAATGATAAATTATAAAAATTAACAGAAAAGAATTTTCCATGATTAAAAAACAAAACAGACTTGGACATTTCTATTATAAATTAAATTCTCTCTCACTAATCAACCAGCTTCATCTAAGATGAAAATGGCAATCCTCACACACATTTTCCCTTGTTTGTGTGGGCTTCTACAATAGAAGAGAAATAATTTTAGAAGAATTATTAGGAAGAGCAGGACGTTGACATAAATTATGCACTATTTTGTGCATATTAAGCTAGCACTGTCTACTCAGCTACATTACATAATCCTAATAATGGAATTTTGATTTATGTGCTGCCCAATCAGTAAGAAAAAAATGAAAATGCACACTACAGTTAAGGAAAGACGAAACAATAATTGTAAAATGAGTTTCTGTTTGAAAACAACTGCAGAATAAAATCATAAAATATTTATCTAAATCAAAGATCTGCAAATACTTTCCATAGAAGATAAGATAGTAAATGCTTAAGGCTCTGTAGATAATAATACTGTCACTGCTGAATATTTTTTGCAACCTGTTAAAATGTGAAACAATGTTTCAGGTAGGTCTCTATAAAAAGTTATTGTCTATATCTGTGTCTAATCTCAATAAATATTAATTTTAAAGCACAAATATGAACAAACCATCTGATTTTATAAGGGCATAATACCAAAGATGACATATTGAATAATTTAATTTTATATTATGAAATTTAGTTTTAGAAAATGTTATCTGCCTTTTTAAGAGAAAGCTTGTTTATATTGATTTCACAACTGCTTTTTTCCAGTTTGTGGATACGACTTCATGGTGCATCTTCTTAACTTTTAAAATATTAGCCATTAAAGAATGGCTAACTCTTATGACTCACAATAGCATTATGTCTTTTTCATTAATCTGTTTTTGATTCTATGTTATTAATTCCTAGTCCTGCTTCAGAGATAGATATTGAAGGGTTTCTCTCAATGTAATGCTCAGCATTCAGAAGAATTTGGATCGTGTATTCTTTTGTGTACTAAAGTGGACGATGTGTAGCACTGTACTGCAGGCTGTGCCTGTGGGAAGAAATCATGTGCGTCTGGCTCCTTTGTATCAGTTCAACTTAGCAACCACTCTATGCTGCCAAAAATAATGCTTAGATCCACTGTTTTCCTAAATGTACTATACAAATGGGTACCTTCAGTTAACTAGATATGCATAAGGCAAGTGCAAAATTCACTCACAACATATTCAAGGATAATTATAAAAATAAGTTTTATAGCACAAACTTGATAAAAAGTAAAAGCTGAAGGAAAACTGCCTAACAATAATAGAAATGGATTCTAGAAACGATAAAATACACTCATATAATGTAATACATTTGAAAGATAATATTTTCTAGATATATATATGATCTGTTTCTAAATACATATATGCTCCAGAGTGAAGAATTAAACAGATATGATAACAGTGAATAATTAAGTTATGATATGAATAAAAATAAGAATTTATTACATTAGTATATATATATATATATATATATATATATATATTACAAAAATATGCTCACCAATGACTGGGCATTGTTTAGCCTCACATACAAAATGTTAGGCCATGTGTGGTCATATTATATTCTTCATTTGACAATTTTCTATAGTTAATTTTTTTTTTTTTTGGCAGAACTCAGGCCCTTGCACATGCCAGGTTAGCGCTTATTCCACTGAGCCATCTCCCCAGCCCTCTATAGTTAATTTCATTTGGTACCACTTAAAAATATGCATAGTATTTTGTTCTTACCCCTTTTAGTGCTGCTAAATCTTTGCTGTTGAAATAATAACCCTCCATATGATTTATTGGTTTACAAAATAGGTTGTCTCTTAGACTTATGATAGAATCTATCATATGTAACAAATATTCTAAATCAACTTTGGTCAGATGTACATTCCTCAGAACATGGGGAGAGATAGCATCAGAGCTTTAAAGAGTGACATTCTCCTCCATTTTAACACTTGCTTTGGATGACTGTCAAAGTCTAGGTTATGGGACACATCATTTGTATGCTTACTGTCAATTGCAAGACTAAGGACTTTCAGGGATGAAGGTGTGTCCCTTCTCCCAGTATCCTTTTCTATGTTTCCTCTCCAAGACTGCAATGCTTCCCAGTTGTTCTCTATCAGTGAGGTAGAAAATAGTCTACTTATTATTTCCCAGGAAAGGCTAATGTGGTACTGATTTATTACGATGTTCCACCGCATTACCCCTTGGCAAAAAAAGGAAGTTATAATAACTGATAAACTGGGCTGGCCAGATAGCTCAGCGGACTAAAGTGCCT